CAGGATGGAATCATTTCATATTTAAAGAACTTTCAGAAGTTTGAATTCTGAATATGAGCGACTTTTCCTTTAAAGAAGGAATAAATGTTAGCTATTGCTTAGCAATACTAACCTTTTGATTTGCAAACATTTAAACGTCTTGAAGAAGAGCGGCTGCTGACGTTTCTGGAAATGCTTTTTCATTTTATATATGGTAACAATTTGCTTCCATACATCTCCAGTAAGACACAGAGCAGACTGGACTTCCTGAGGAAGCTCAGGTCCTTTAATTTTTGCAGGAAGATCCTGCATATCTTCTACTTTAAAATAAAAAAATGATCTCTGTGTATTTCTTTAATGAAAACCTTCCAGCTGAGACCTTTGCTTGAAAGGATTAAAAATACTCACCATCAGAACGCTCTGGGCTGAAAGTAGCAACATGTTGATGTCCCTCTAACTGAGCAGGGATAAATTCGCTGCTATTTAAGAAACGGAATAATCAGCAGATCGGTTTCTGAGTAGGTTCAGCTCCACTCTGACTTGTTGCCCCGCCTCCACCTCTGCAGGTCTCAGTGTGGACGGCCTCTACAGAGTGAGTGGGAACCTGGCGGTGATCCAGAAGCTCCGCTTCGCCGTGAATCACGGTAAGGCTCGCCGACCCTCCGCTAGCTGGAACACGCCTTGCCTGCGATCTGAGGTGGAATATTGATCGTCTCCTCCCTGTGTCAGATGAGAAGGTGGACCTGAACGACAGCAAGTGGGAGGACATCCACGTCACCACCGGAGCTCTGAAGATGTTCTTCAGGGAGCTTCCTGAGCCGCTCTTCACGTACGGATCCTTCGGTGACTTCGTGAACGCCATCAGTGAGTGTTTGGTGTTAAATAGCAGCAACGCACACAGAGTCCTCACTACAATCACACAGACAGGAGGGAAAACTGATCTACAGAGTCAGAGCTTTATAGAGCATCTAATTCATTTATTGCCTTCTGCAACAGTAAATATTTATTAAAATGATTGTATTTGCCTTTAATCTGAGGAGCTAAATAAGATGATCTGTGTATTTCTGCTCTTTAATTAAACTAATTTGATATTATGCACCTGAAATAAGATGATACATCTATTTTTCTTGTTTTAAATTTTTATTTTCTATTTTATTCCAACAGTAAAATGTTTTACTTACCTGCATAAATCAAGAATAGATTCTACATTTATTTCTAAATCTTAAACTTATATCTAAATTACATCAAGTCTCCGGATGTTGTACTCGCCCCTCCCTATTTACCCAGCATGCATCAGAGCAGACTTGCCCATTCTTTAGATTGACAGCTGTCCCAGCATGCACTGGGGCAGCAGCAGCTTCCAGGTTAGCTGCTGTTGTTCTATAAATTAAGTTTTAAGATCATTAGAGGTGAGAATATTATACCTTTAAGCATCACTATATGGTTCATTTACTGATTTAATGTGTAATTTAAAAATACATTTCCGAAATTCAAAGGATCGCAGAAACCAGTGGAGCTAACGGCTAACGGCAGCCAGGGCTAACGTTAAAAGTCCGTCCGTTAGTTCAGTACCACATTACCCATGATGCATCAGTTCATTTTGTAGTTCTAATTCCACGTAGCTGAACAAGTTGTGTTTTCCACGCTTCTGGGTGGTTCGGTGGCACAAAATAGCATCCACCATTAATCCTTCTTTCATCCAGTGTGTATGAAACCTGTGTGCGTTCTTTACCATATAACCACACGTCCATATACATATTTCTAAAAAAAAAAATATATAAACCTCATTATCTGTACCATCATCTCCAATGTACCTGCTTCTATTCCATTAATAAACCTTCTGAGCTACACCAGTGGAGCTAACGCTACTACAGCTAACGTTAGCTCGTCTGCAGCAGCCCTCTCTCTCTGTGTAGCCGTGTGTGAAGGACCGCTGGCTCTGATGGGGAATGTTAATGTAAAAACGTAAGAATTTATTATTATCTAGAGACTATTAATGACAGGAGGTGAAATGCAGCTCCAGACGAGCCAAGCGTGTGATGACGTCACGAGTGCGATTCTGTTCCGATTGACCCATTTTTATGCTAGATGCTCCCGTTCTCCCAGAGTCCAGACTTTTCTGTGTTCTTCTCAAGAACACGGTTGGTGAGGACACGAGTCCGTACTCGCGTTCTTGTGAATTGAGAAGCGGCCTATATTAGAGGCTGCTGTCCTGCTGTTGCCATGGTTAATCAACATATCTGTATTCCATTAATTAGGGCTTCTTATTTTTTCGCACTAAACTCAAATATTTATTGTTGCTAAGTTTAGTTACCTGATTGAAATCGGCTGTTCTGAGCCAACATTTGAGAGTAAAGAAAAGAGGGTGGAACCACTCAGAGGCCGTTTCTCAATTCACGAGAACGCGAGTACGTACTTGCGTTCTCGTCAAGTCCGTTCTTGGCGAGAACGCAGGAAGATCGGACTTGAAGACGTCATCACATGCAACGTTCTTTAGCATTTCTTTAACAGTCAAAACTATTTATTCCCTACACAAAACATCTTGAAAACAATATTTTTCATTTCTAAAGCTTAAACATTAAAAAAAATTACCGAACCGTGGGTATAAAACCAGCAATGGCGGGAAT